GTTATTGCAAAGAGAAGATAAGGGTATAAATATGATTCAAAACCAGGTCAAAATGTCCAATATTCACTTAATTGTGGTTATGTATTGTCGACATAGGATGGGGATGGGGTCAAAGTGCTGTAGGTGCTCAGAAACCCTAGCGTCCACATTGGCGCGTCCCGGTCAGGGGTCACGATGATCGTACAGCCAAAGCACCGGCGCCGCGCCACCTCTCGCTGAAGAACTTTAAACTAGGTCAAGTCACGAGATGTCAACTGTTCTTACAGATATATTCCTATGAAAACGTTGTTCGGTCTCCGCATAGGTCGAACCAGTACCATCGCCTTCGAATGTCGAATTGAGGCGGCACTCAAAGCGATCAATAAGAGCACAGGTATAGAAGATCCTGATTGTGGCTTATTCATTGGGAACTAGGGTCGGACTCGATGAGGAAATAGACGGTCCATTTGCTAAGAAAAAACATGCATTGTAAAAGATCTACGGAGTAAGATTGAGAGAGATCCATATAAGCCTATAGATCAGCTATGAGATAGACGAGACAAATCAAAAATGAAGGACAGGAGTACACGATGCGGAGTAAACTATGATGCAAAGGGGAAGAATAGTAATATAACTAAATAAAAAAGAGGGGATGTTTTTTGCGGAATCGCCGCATGTCATAAAAAGAGCCGTGTAGCTCGATGTAATCATCACATGAATTACCAAAAAGTGTTGAGAGGGGGGGGAAAGTGAGCGAAGAAATATCTACCATTGTCCTTGAGCCTATCGGGTAGGAGGTGTATGAGGGGGAGGTGGGGAAGAATAATATGAGCCTGTGGTATTGGTGTTGTGTGTTGTATAAGATGGTGTTGTCACAGTGTTGGTGTGCATAGTTGTAGGTGTATCGGTTTTGTCTGCTATATCCTTCCGCTCCCGTTCATTGTCACCCAGCGGCAATGGTTTTTTCCGGATGCTATCCTTGCTACCTCTCCGCTTAGGAGGCGGAGGAGATAGGCCCACCTTCTCCGGTGGGAAACTGTATTTTGGTGCAGAGGAACGAGTCCCCGGGACGATAGGCAGGGGCCTCGA